AAGCATTTATAGTGCTTATGGTAATTTTGAAAAACAAAAACACTTAGTGGTATTTTGGAGAAAAAAAAAAACTAGTAGTGATATATTTGGGACAAAACCTTATCTTTTTGGTATTTTAAAGAGTTTCTCTTAAATATAAGTAAAATGAACTAGTTTATTGTTTTTAAAAGTGTTTATGGTTTAAAAAAAAATAACAAGATCAATAATTATGATTTTTTACCTAATTTTGTGAACAATATTTACTAAACGATATATCATAAAGTTAAGTATATTGTTTTTATTTCAACATTTGTTTCTACAGTGATAAAATACTGTAATAATTAAGCACAAAAATGTGACTGGGTCATAGAATCTATTTTTTTTTTAAACATTTATTTTAGAAATATGAAAGATTTTATTATTTTAAATTTTCTATCTCCAGATTATACGTTAGATGATCCAGTGATAGAGCTTCCACCTTTGAAAGTCAAGGATCTTCCGGTAATAGAAACAAAGGACCCGGAGGAACTATACCGAATAATGAAAGATATGGTGGAAGGAGCTAAGTCTTCTTCAGGAGTCATATGGAACACATTCGAAGATCTTGAAAGACTCCAACTCATTGATTTGAGCCGCAACTTCCAAGTTCCCTTCTTCCCAATCGGACCATTTCACAAATATAGCGAGGATCTTCCATCGACAAAAAATAACAAAGAAGACTATGCAATAACCGATTGGCTCGACAAGCAAGAGCCAAAGTCAGTGGTCTATGCGAGTTTTGGTAGCCTTGCTGCTATAGAAGAGAAGGAGTTTCTTGAGATTGCTTGGGGACTAAGAAACAGCGAACAACCATTCTTGTGGGTGGTTAGGCCGGGGTTGGTCCGAGGGGTCGAGTGGCTGCCTTGCGGGTTTATGGAAAACATTGGACAGAAGGGGAAAATTGTGAAATGGGCGAATCAATTAGAGGTATTGGCGCATCCCTCTCTTGGAGCATTTTGGACGCATTGTGGGTGGAATTCGACGCTAGAGAGCATATGTGAAGGCATTCCAATGATATGTACACCATGTTTCACGGATCAGCGTGTGAGCGCGAGGTACATTGTCAGATGTATGGCGAGTTGGGATAATGTTGGAACGAAGTAAGATCGATAAGAGAGAGATTGAGCAGGTAGTAAAAAGTGCAATGATAGATAAAAGAGATGGTATGAGAGAGAGGTGCATGGCCTTGAAAGAGAAGGCTGATATTTGCTTAGGTAAAGATGGATCTTCGTCTAACAATTTAAACAAACTTGTGACTCATGTCTTGTCTTTTGATTTATAATCATATGCTTTTGCAAGTTAAGAAATTACTAGACAATATTTTTAAATTTTAAGCTCTCATAAAACTTTTGGATGTTATGTTTTTTTCTTTTTTTTTCTCTTGAAATAATGATGTTGGTTGTTTGAGTTTTATATCATTGTTTATCCTTGTGAAAATGATAATTACATTTAGAAATTACAAAAGTAATCAAACCAACTGAACATGCTTAGGGCATCTCCAACCCGTTTGTGATCATTAGGTAGTTAGGGAAGTGTCGTAGGCTGCGAAGTGGGCCGACCAATATATTAAGTTTTTCTACCGATTTTGATGAAAAGAATCAACAGAGAGATCCAAGTCCATCTAGCTCAATGATTTGTCAAAACTTTTGCCCAAGACAAATCACTTCACAACTTTTTCCATGCTTTTGGCCAAATGTTAGGAAGAAGCAAAACGATAAATATGGTAATATTTCGCCTACAATAGCATCATTTTGGGTACTACCCTAATCAGATAGTTGAGTTTTTAGAAATATGTTAATGCTAAGCACTATGTATTAGTTTGACAAAAAAAAACGCACTATGTATTATTATTTTGTATCAACACAACTCAACAGCTCAATCAGTATGCACTGGCATTAATCTAAAAACCCTTAAATCTAATTAGCAATGACCATTGGTGGAAATTTATTAACAGCAATGCCAAAATATTATTTTACATTTATTAACAGCCGTTGAGTTGAGTTATTACAAGATCATAAAATAAATATATACATAGTGCTTAGCATTAACACCGCATATTGTAAACTTTTCTAATTTACATTTGTTTTATAAATTAGGTTTCAAACCAACAACAAATCCACAAAATAAAAAAAAATTCAAGAAACC